TGCATTGAAATGTGGTACGTGTAGACTTTAACGAACAATGCTTTAACTTATGACGATTGGTTTCTTATGGATTCGACCGGGGGATCGGCAAAAACTTTCACGGAAGAAGTAGAGAAAGAGCCATTAGATTTGTCTTTCACCAAAATAGCTAGGGAGCCATATCACACGCACACCTACCTGTACACATACGCAAACACAGCGGCAGCAGGTGTACAGCAGATGACAAACTATTTATGTTAAATACGTAGGCTTTCGCAACCAAAATCATCCATGAAAGAGTTTTTTTTTGTGAGATCGAGTAAATATATAAATGTGTTGTTAAACACGCCACCACCCGACACAGCCAACTAGTAAGGTTTGTCACGTAAAACAGAACGTGGCCAATTCGTCACTAGTACAGCACACCGGTGTGTTAGAGAGCCAAGCCACAACATTTACAATCTGAGTAAGACGCCTCGTCAGTAATTACAAATAGCTTCATCAGGCGACAGCGAAATTTGTGGAAAAGTCCGCCTGTTTCGCGATCTAACCCAAAAAACCTCTATTATAATAATAAACAATTTCTGACTTAAATAGGCAAAATAGGTGATGGAATATGTTCCCCCCTCCCCCCCCCCATTTAGTTATTCTTTAACATTACAGTTGGACTGTTGTACATTTTGTTGTCACCAGGACATTCCATAGTGACTCATTCCCAGCCATATTTAATAAACAATCTTTCTGTTAAATGACAATTTATTTTTTACAAATTTTAAAACGGATGAAGCTAGTGCGGGGCCTGTAGCATATGTTATAAAGGGACCCGAAATAAAAACAAGTAAATATTAAAACACACATTTTTTTCCTTGCATAGTAAATTGTATTTTTTCATTTGCAATACAGCCAGATAATACGACAAATCGCTAACCTTAAACACGCAGTCGTTCGTAAAAGTTGAAGGCGGTATAGTACTATAGTAATAGAGCAAGTGCAGAATCGCTGAATCGGAATTGATAGCTTGGAATCATTTAGCGCGGGGCCCTTGAAAGTGTGGGGCTCGTAGCTACTACATATGTAACTACTACATATGTAGTAGCTACATATGTAGTAGCTACTATATGTGTAGCGACTTTTGCTACTAGGATCATCTGGCACTGCCACCCGGGGTAGACCGTGCAGGTGTAACGCCAATTCGAGCTGCTACACCCTCCGACGCCCGGCACAGCCACACAAAAAGCAAGTCGTCGCACAAAGCAAGTCGTCACCTCGGAGACAATGTGCCAATCGAGTACGGTTTTCAGAAGAAAAAAAGCCGGTTACGTTGAAAAGCAAGCAAAATGTGTGCGTCGTTTTTTTGTCGGAAATTAAACGGTACAAAAAACGGACTCAATTAGCCACATTAGCCCACGTGACAACTTTATTTGTTTGGCTTTCGTATGTATGTCGAACTTCTTTAGCACCGCACGTAGCCAAACGTGCTAATATGTAGAGTAGTGGACAGCGCTAATTGTCTTCATGTTTAGTTGTCTTGACAGGGTATAGCCCGCAATAAAGCAATTATGAATAATTTGTCATATAGGTTTTTTTGGGATAGATCGCGTAAATATATAAATGTGTCGTTAAACCCGCCACCAACCGACACAGCCAATTAGTAAGGTTTGTCACGTAAACAAAACATGCCAATTCGTTACTATTGTAATAAAAGACTCCGTCAGGCACTGCTGGTCTCCGCTTGTCTTTTATTCAGGTTCTTCTCCGCACCCCACTGGTCTCCTCCACGGACCAGCGTCGTCTCGCGCGCGCCCCGTGCACGTGCTTCCTCCTCAGCTCCTACACTCGTCCTCACACTCCGCTGGTCCTGACAAGGGACCAGCGTCTCCTCTCACTCCTCTCGCGTGCCACGCACGCTCGTCTCGCGTGCCCCGCACGCTCCTCTGTCAGCTCCTTCTCCCGCTCCGCACACCGCTGGCCGACGGTGTGCCGAAGCCCCATCAGCCACGTGGCTGATGGCGCGGCGGCCACCCAACGTGGTCCCGCTTGTTCATTCCATCAACTGGCTTCGATCTCTTCCGGGCTCCCCTCTATAACCTCTCTCCCACGTGACCCTGATTCCTCCCTCCCAGATCGTCAGATCCGGCCTTCCCATACTGCCCTGCTGGCTCCACCTCCATTCACCTCGCTTCCCATTGGAGCCGAGGTGAACGGCGGCCCCTCTCACACGCCCCCCATACCGGGCTCCGCCCCCAATACCCCGGGTCGTGTGATTGGGCCAGAGTCCAGCAGCAACCCCATTTATGCCGCATTACACTAGTACAGCACACCGGTGTGTAGGGAGAGCAAATCCACAATATTTACAATCTGAGTACGCTCATCATTGGATTGTGATGGCAGTGTTGGGTTTGGGGGGGTGAATCGTTACACCTTTACTAAGAACCCCTAAAGCACAAATCAGCACCAGACAATGTTGGCTTTACGACGCTGATGATTCCTAATAAGGATGACAAAATATGGCCATGTTTTTTTTTACTATCAATTTGGCCTAAAACACGACTCTGTGCAAATGACGCATGCGGTGTGATAATGGCACTTGGCAGGCACGGTATAACGAGAGCAGCACATGCAGTGTGGTCACGATCGCTGGGTTTGGTGTCTTTAAAAAATAAATCACAGCTTCTCATTGTTTTACAGCTCACGTCTTGATTTTCGAGGAGAATTGGCCTAAGGCAGCCGCCACGACTGCCCTGGTTGCTTTGTTTTGACCGTGACGCTGACAGGCGGACGTCACAGCAAGCGCGAGGAAGCCCATTGCATTGCGCGTGGACAAAGCGCTCAGCCTTATGTAGACCACCAGCGCAAAAAGAACTGTACGTGCGGCCATTCTGCCGTTTTTCAAACCACCAAATGAAAATATTAACTGTGACCAACGAGACGGGCCGGCAGTGGAACAAAGACACAGCTGTAGAGCGGCTTTGCCCTTTGATCGGACTCATCAGTCCAGTACAGGCATCACTTACTCATTGCTGCCATATGACTCTGGGAGCCTCGCATACGGAGCAGAGGGCGTTTACCGTCACACTATGGCAGGGGTCAGCAGCCTGCGGCTCAGGAGACGCATGCGACTCGTTTGCTGCCCCCTTGCGGGGAGCTGTTTAAAAAAAATGACCAAAAGTCTAGATTTGAAGCTTTCGTGACTGCAATAATTCATACTCTTAGGTTTTTTCGGTAAAGTCACGTAGGGAAATAAATTTATAATAAAAATTGAATAATAATAAAATAATAGAAAAAATTTTAAATTAAATAATAAATCACGACGTTTCGGGGGCAACACAAGCTTCCGTCTTCAGGTGGAACCGTCACAGCACAATTGCTGTATCAAGTAAAGAGAAGTCCCAAGAGACCCGACCTTATATATACTGGTTAAGGGGGGGAGGAGCCAGGGTGGGCCGCGGGAGGGGAGTTGTTGTGAGATGGTTAGGACAGAAAAGATGCAATTGATGAAATATGGCAGAGAAATGTGGAATGTCTTGGTGACAACAAAATGTACGACAGTCCAACTGTATTGTTAAAGAACAACTAAGGGGGGGGGGGGGACGAAATAGACGAGATTTATTCCATCACCTGTTTTGTTTATTTAAGTCAGACCTGCTGTATACCTGCCGCCATGTTTGTGTACAAGTCGCTCTCTCTCTCTGCGTGTGATGCGGCTCTCGAACTAATTTGGTCAAAGACAAAAACAAAACAAAATGTCTCTTCGTCTTCTTCATCTTCTTCCTTCGAAAGGTTGCCGACCCCTGCACTATGGCAACAGTAATTAAAATATGTAAATTGACCAAATATATTTGTTGATAAACCCAATCAATTGGCACATTTGCCCATGACGTGCAACTTGGTCTGATTGGCTAAGTCGGGTGGTGAGGGTTAAAGTGAATGATTTGCATTATACCTATCGCACGGTATAACCCGAAAAGAAACGAAGTATGAATCATAATGGTCGTGAAAGCCTACGTAGGTAAAGTGAGAGGAGTTATTGGTGTGGTGGTCTTGAGTAAATTGAAAGTTTTCACTGTGTTCAGCATGCGGAGTGTCGCTATACAAAGACAAAGATCCCCCGTATAGGCTTAACCGACTCTTGGTGCAAGTGCTGTTAGGGTACACCTATGAAGGCTGGAACGGTCAACGAGGGGACGGGTGGCCGGCACCACGCCCGACTGCCTTTGTCTCCCCACAGCAACGATGCTTACACACCGCACCAGGTACTCATTTGAGGCTGAATCGACCTAGGGGAACCCCAAGACCGATTCAGACAATCGTGTTGGTCGTGAGCGGGAATCGAACTCAGGTGGCCGGGGTTCGTAGCTCAGCGCGCTCACCGTTGTCCTATCGTTCCCCGCTACGCACCAATCAGCATACACAGTCCTCGCACACACACGCACACTCAGAAATTGAGTTACTCGCTTAGTGACTCATCCACTCACACTCGAGCAAACGCGAGCGAAGTTGTTCACTCGCTCACGCACGCATTCGTTAAATTGTGAGTGAATTATTAATCACGCACTCGCCATATTCGGTCATTCATTCACTCCCTTGCTCGTGAATTAAATCGCTCACTTGCCCGCTCGTGGAAGGCTTATTCAAATATGGAATTCACTCGCTCAGTGGACGAATTCAACGTCGTACTCGCTCAATAATCGCTCGCGCACTCTCCCATTCACTTATTTATCTATCCCTCCAAAACAACAACTTACCAACTCATCCACTCACCCAGAAATTCATCCATCCACCCATCCCAGAAACAAACTGGTCCACTCAGAAGCTCACTCATTGATCTACTCTCCCATAAACACACTCACTCAGCCACCCACCGAGAAACTCGCTCACTCACTCAACCAACCCGCAATCTCACTCGCCCATATCTCCACCAAGCCAGCAACTCATTCACCTGCTCATTTATTCCCTTACTCGTTCGATTCATTCATTAATCCTTTCAGCCTCTCACCTCCAAGCCGCTCCTCACCCCACCCCACCCCTCATCAAGGTCAACCAACCCGACGCACCCACGCCCCATCACATCCACCCACCAAGCTGCAGATATAATCAACCGCATCTTGCGTCCACCTTTCACTCCTCCACTGGTTGAAGCAGGTGCGTTCCCGTGTTCGACCGGTCTCGCACTTCTTACAACGACACGTTATGGAACAAAGTTAATGAATAGAACGGTATTATTGTTTGATTTAATCTGTTCTTTATTTCCCCCAGAGCGACGCTTGTGATTATATTAAGTGTTTGTACGGCTGATGTAGACGCAGAGCGACAACTACAATTTGACATTCAGGTGATCAAGCCCACATAACCGCGTCAGGGTTAGTAGCGGAGTGGTATCGCTTCAATATCTCCATCGTATTTGTGGATCGGGACATCGCGTCTTTATGTGTTCTTAAGTAAGATACGCACGGGCGAATCGCCAGCGCAGATGCAAGTGCGAGCTCTGTGTGGTTTAAAAAAATGAAGTGTTCAGTCAGCTTAACATGTAGGCTTTCGCGACCAATATCATCCATAATACTGTGTTTTTTATGGGGTTAAATCGCGTAAAGATAAAAGTGTCGTTAAACCCGCCACCACCCGACACAGCCAATTAGTAAGGTTTGTCATGTAAACAGAACATGCCAATTCATTACTAGTACAGCAACACCAGTGTGTTGGAGAGCAAAACCACAACATTTACAATCTGAGTACGACGTTTCGCAAATAACTACAACTAGCATCATCAGACGACAGCTAGAAACAGGATTTTTCCACAAATCTGTCTGTCGCCTGATGATGCTAGTTGTAATTTCTGGCGAAACGTCGTACTCAGATTGTAAATGCTGTGGATTTACTCTCCAACACACCGGTGTGCTGAACTAGTAACGAATTGGCACGTTCTGTTTACATGACAAACCTTACTAATTGGCTGTGTCGGGTGGTGGCGGGTTTAACGACACATATATTTACGCGATCTAACCCCCAAACAACCTGTATTATGGAGGAGAACTTTACAAGCCCGAATGTGACAAACGAGTTGGTGCTGCTGCTGCGTTGGCAGTGGTACACAAGCAGAGTTAGCAACAACAGCACCAACACACTCAACACGTCTGTCAGTAACGCTGTAATGTGGCCTTATACGGAAAATGATTTTTAAGCGACGTTTCGGGCAATGTTCCTTCTTTATAGCACGTAAACGATGCACGTACTCTGAAGGTCCATTGCCCGAGACGTTGCCTATTATAGATTGTTTTACCTTTTAATGTAACCTAATTGGGTGATCACCGGATCTCACAATAATATTTCTTTCTGAACTTTATTCGCTTTTTGTTTACACGTTTACATGTTAACTTGTTCAGAAATGGTTTTCTGCAAACGTTGTGAAGTACTATTTAAAACCAAACATACCAAGGAGGCACTGCTCATTTCTTACCGGAGGTCGACTGCCATTGAACCATCCGAGGTCGATAAAATAGCTACCGTTTTGTGGGAACTCAACAGTGGCCGTCGCATAAATTGACTTTCCATTGGAATGTGGAATTGTCATCCAAGGACGATGAACGCAACTCCAACCATTCACCTGTTAATTTATCTTCGGGGGGGGGGCACCTTTGTGCGTGTGTTTGTTTTTAATAAGTACGCAGTGTCAAATAACCTCACACACCAACATGGATCACCAGTGCTTGCTTCACGAATTCATTCAAAAACGAGTGTATCTGTATCGTGCAGGGAGGCACAGCGAGACGTTGGAGACACAGAGAAGCGGGCACAATGAAGAGGACAATTGCGGTGATGGTGATGATGTCGATGATGGTGATGGGAAGCAGCGAGACTACTTTACGTGGCCCGGACTCCCCGTGTGCTCTGAATCCTGACGCCGACCTCCCGTTCACCGTCGAATTATCTCCGGACAAATTCCACGTCTCGTGGGCGTTCGACAGCGACCAGATCGTCTTGGAGGCTCGGGTTCGCACCCGGGGCTGGGTCGGCCTGGGGCTGAGCTCCACGGGGAAGATGGCCGGCTCTGACGTGGTGATCGGGTGGGTGGACAGCGCGGCCGCTACCCACCTCGTGGTGAGTGGCAGGCGGCAGGCAGCGCGGTCCCTCACTCGGATACCACGCAGCGAGCTGGACGTTTGGGGGGCGCAGTGGTGCAGTGGTTATCAGATTAGCGCTAAGATATCGGTGTTTTTCACTCATTTCCAGAAGAGGAGGAGGGGGGCCACTTTCGCCGATGAGACATCGTCAGTGTGAGGGCCGCCGCACGTTTGACACCATTGGGGGTTTGACAGCAGCACGATGATGATGATGATGATGAAGGCGGTGGTGTTTTCACTCTTTGTGTGTATTGTGTCGGTGGACGCACTCAAGGCCACCCGGGGCCGCCAGTGGCCCCTGGTGCAATGAAGAACACTGCGCTCTATGAACCAGACTGACGAATTGAGATTGATTCCGGGCCACGGCTAATATTGGTGTCGAGTGATATCTGAACCGGTACTGGGCTTCACCTGCAACTGACCAGCTTGGTGAAGTGTTGTCAAACAACCCCCAGACGGACGTGGCAATCCAATTTCCCTGTATAAGAATAGGTTTTACCCTTTATGGCAATAAAACAGGTTTTAAAATATAATAATAGGGATTTTCCCCTTTGTTCTGCAACAAAACTGAAACCTTTTTACAAGGATTCATGTCTGCATTAACCACAATACTTGCAGTCAAAATGCAAACAAAAAACACACTATGATAATATATGCATTGTCCTTGAAACTGATTGGTACACACCAGAGACAGCTTTCTTTTGAGCCTCGTCTCAATTGGTGCTCGACCAGATGACGCCAACAGGCGTACAAAGACAATTCACTATCAAAGTAATGAAGGCTCGGGGTAAGCATCTACATCATAAGACCTCCTGTCTCTGGTGTGGACCAATCAGTTTCAAGGACAATGTATAAATTATCAGAGTGTGTTTTTTGTTTTCATTTTGACTGTAAGTATTGTGGTTAATGCAGACATGAATCCTTGTAAAAAGGTTTCAGTTTTGTTGCCATAAAAAAATTAACCCGTAAAAACAAAGTTTTTCACTATAAATCCTTTATATGCGTGGCGGCTAGAGTCCTCTCGTCCTCTGGCTTGAGATGGCTGCCACCTATGGGTCAGATGATTGCCTGCCACCATTAAGCAATTGGTAATTAAATATAATTTATTTTTTTCTAAAAAGTGTAAAATTTTGGAAAAATTTTTTACGAAAATAAATTGGCACGCACAACGAGTCTGTGTGCAAAATGTCAGCTCGATTGGATCACGGGAAGTGGGTTAAAAAACGACCGAAAGATTTGCACGGTCGTAAGCGCGCAAGCAAGTGAACTTAATATAAAGGATTTAAAAAGGTGAAAACCCTATTATTATATTTTGGTACTGGCAAAGGAGGTCTATTGATGAGGTGTTAAAATGTCCAAACACCATGTTTGCCTTTTGGCGTTCTCTGGTCTAACACTAGTTGAGACTATGTCCTACAGAAGGCTGTCTCTGGTGTAAACCAATCAGTTTCAAAGACAATGCCTGCATTACCAGCGCATGTTTTTGTTTGCATGTTCACCACAGGTACTGTGTGGTTAATGCAGACATGATTCCTCGCAAAAGGTTTCTGTATGGTGTTTGAACAAATGTTTTAGTTATATTTTGATACTGGCAAGAAATGACTCAATTTCCCAATACAATAATACGGGTAAACCCTATGGGTTGACAGGAATGTGTGAGCGTATGAGCATCACTCAACCGAAACTGATTGTGCTTTATGTTGCATCTTATGGAGCAGTGTCGGATAGGATCGAGACGCTCTGGCACAGATCTTGACCGCAGTTCCTAATCTTAGCATAATGCGTGGATTGTACAGAAGTCGCGACTGTTCCGGACAGAATTATTATTTGGTTCGGAGGAGAAAAGCTACGATTCTTCGACGCCTGATTAGCCAAAGTTGTAATTCAATGACAGATCAAACGCAATGAGCTCCCTGCACTCTAAGCCTTGCGTGCTCCGAGTAACCTCAATGGGCGCTCACTAACAACGATGGCTAACAAAGGAAGTGGGGTCATTGTCTTACCATTGAATGCGCTGCTGCTCTCCGTATCTCTAACGCTGGTCCCCTCTTGAACCCGTGGGTCCTGGGCTGCGGCTGTGCGGTCAGGACGGACACATCGAGGGGGAGCGGAGCCTGGTGCGGGACGCGAGCCAGGACTACAAACTCGTGCGGCTCAGCGAGAACGGCACCCACACGGTCATGCGCGTGGTGCGCGCGCTGCGCACGTGCGACCCCAACGACAGGGACATCACCGTGCGTGTTGCACACGCACACACACGCACGTGTACACACACACGCATGTGTACACACACACACGTGGACACACAAAAACACGTGTACAAACACACTTGTTCACACGTGTACACACGTGTACACACGCGCATGTGTGCACACGCACACGTATACACATATACACACGCATACACAGAGACACGTGTACATACACACGTGTACACTTGTGTACACATAGACACACACGTGTACACATAGACACACGTGTACACATAGCCACAAAGACAAATATCCCCCGTATAGCCTTAACAAACTTTTGAGGTAAGTTCTGTTAGCGAGCACCTATGAAGGCAGACACTGCACACGAGGGAGTGAGTGGTGGCCAGTACCACGCCCGTCCGCCTTTGTCTCCCTAGTGGCGATGTTTACACACCGTACCAGGTACTCATTTGAGGCTGAGTCGACGGACACACACACCTGTACACATGTACACACGAAATTAATACCAACGTTTTTGTATGTATGTTGAACTTCTTTCACGAGGTACGCAGCCAACCGTGCGAATCGGAGGTGCATTAGTGGCACTGGCAGCGAGGACTTCTTTGACCTTTTGACCTCTAACAGAAAGCCATATGCGGCAGGAGGACACGATGCGCCTGATCTGGGCCTGTAAGGATGACGATCCGAAGAGCGAGGCGGAGATTTCCTACCACGGCCCGATGAATCGGGGCACGAAGAGCCTTCAGCTGTTGAGTTCCAGGCCACGCTCCCAGCCAGAGCTGCCCCAAGACCGGTCCACGTTCGACATCGTGCAGGACAAGGTACACCCGCCACACAATGCTGATAATGAATTATTACATTGTGTCATTTATGAATATACTACGGCATGATGATGGCCTTCCCACGCAATGTCAGTCAATGTGTTGGTGGGGGGGGGGGGTAGCGGTTCGTGCTACGCTGTGCTACGAACCCGGCAGCCCAAGTTCGATTCCTGCTCACGGCTAATACCAGTGACGATTATCTCAACCCGGTTCTGGGCCCCCCTTAGGTCGACTAAGTCTCAAATGAGTACCTGGTGCGGTGTGTAAACATCACCACTGTGGAGACAAAGGCGGCCGGGCGTGGTGCTGGCAACCACCCACCCCTCGTGTGCAGTGTTTGCCTTCATAGGTGCTCGCTAACAGAACTTACCCCAAAAGCCTGTTCAGGCCGTATTTAAAGGTACTGTTCAGCATCGAAAGATGTGCGCCATCATGTGACGATTAAAATTGATTACGATGATGATCATAATTACAAAGTGATGCTCCTCTTCTGTTGAAAGTTCCCGATCCCTCCCGCTTCTACGTTCTACGCGTGCAAGATCTTCTCCCTCCCGAACCTGAACAAGAAGCATCACCTCGTCGAGGTGAGACAGGAGCAGAGCAGGTGTCCCGCTTGCTCGTCCTGAAGGTGGCGGTGACATTTCCCAGCACCCGGCTCGTGGCTTGCAAGGAAACAGAGAGCACTGTCCCACACACCGTAGAAAAACTGAGCCATTGTTGAGGTTTTTTTTAGTGACAGTGATTGAATAAGGAAGAAGGGCCACTGTCTGAAACGTAGACGACCATGTTTTTATTCTAGCGCTACGGTCTTCTTGATGAATATTTGTTTTTATTACTGTTTTGTGTGTTTATGCACCACAGCCAAAGTTGCAGCATCACCAGATGACTTGTATCATCGTGATAATGAATTCATAATTGCCAGCCCTTAATCCTCTGCTAAATTAACTTTAATGCCCCAGTGTTACATGCAGCCTGTGTTTGATCGGAGCAATACTAACAGAAATATTGTTCCGTGTAACATTATTTCAGGAAAATTTAAACTGCAACGGATCTAGTGAATGTAACATTACATACGTGATGGCTATTGTGATTTGACTACAGTATATTCGTTTCAGAATATACAGTACTAGAAACCCACACGTCCTTTGGAGGGCAACACAGCAAAACCCATTGTTGTACTGCTCTTCACTTATTCAATGCTCCCACGCCTATGCTCCCCACCTCCATCAGGAAACCAGCACTCCATCAACCCCGTGTGGTTAAGCGCAGTGGTGACGCGGGGATGCCCTCGTCAACATATACGTTATAATCCCGAGATGACAATGTTGATGACGGTGGCGACAATGATCTTATTCTTCTCACGAATCGCTGATGCAGGCGCAGAGCGCAATCAAGCCCAGATAACCGAGTCAGGAGCAGCGGAGTGGCATCGCCATGATGTCTCCTTCGTTATTTTGTGGATTAGGGGAAATCGCGTCGTTATGGTGTTGTTGTTGTACTGTCTGTTCTGGACGACGACAGCGGCGATGACGACGATGACGACGATGACCGTGTGTGTACGTGTAGGTTGAGCCGATCATCGACCCAGGCAGCGAGGCGTTGGTCCACCACATGATCGTGTACGTGTGCCCGGACACCGTGAACGCGTCCCACGTGGGGGTCACGCAGCAGTGTTACGTCGCCCAAGAAGCCGACTCCTTCTTCACCTGCACCTCCGCGCTCGCCGCGTGGGCCATTGGCGGCGGGGTACGTGGTAACCCTCTGTGTGGGGGGGGGAGCGGTGGCGCAATGGTTAGCGTGATGCGCTACGAACCCGGCAACCCGAGCTCACGGCCAACACCAGTGCCGATTATCTGAACAGATCCTGGGGTTCCCCTAGGTCGACTCTAGCCACCCACCCACCCCGTCGTGTGACGTGCTGGCCTTCGTGCACACTAACAGCACTTGCTCCAACAATCTGTTAAGGCTATACGGGCGATATTTGTCTTTGTGTGTCTTTGTATATACCAAACATGTGTCAATGTGCTAGAGTTGCCACTTTGTCCACACAGACTAAACTTACATCTCAGCCGTTGTCGGTCTATCAAAGCTGTGCAGTAATATCCGTAAATGGACCTCTACACAACACCGCCCAACAGGTGGCAGCCAGTAGCGTGACTCGCGTGGGGGGTAGGGGTGCTTTGCCCCCCCCCCCTCCCGCCCGGGTGGTCAAAGCTACGAATTGTGGGGTTACATTGACAACCACCATGAGATGTTTAAAATGTTCGACTGTGAGCATAATGAGAGGAGCCGCGATGTAGAGATGTGGTGCCACGGCTTTGAAGCAACTCTGCAAGCGCCGCGATCCCCCCTGGCCCCCACACTGAGCACACACACGCAGCGCACACACGTAGCGCACACACGTAGAGTCTTGGCAGGGGATTGACTATTTCTAGATTTGAAGTTTCGTGACTGCAAGGATGCATACTCTTAGGTTTTGTCGGTAAAGTCACGTAGGTAAATTTTTTTAATTTAAATTCATAAAAGTAAAATAGAAATCACGACGTTTCGGAGGCAAAACAAGCTTCCGTCTTCAGGTGGAACCGTCACAGCACGATTGCTGATACAGCTGATACAGCAATCGTGCTGTGACCGTTCCACCTAAAGATGGAAGCTTGTGTTGCCTCCGAAACGTCGTGATTTTTTTTATTTTACTTTTATAAAAAAAAAATTTTACCTACGTGACTTTACCGGAAAAAAAACCTCAGAGTAGGGGATTGACTGGCACAACGGGTTTTAATCCGAAGGGTATCTAGGAGGAAAGTCCCACGGTTTCCCAGTGCCAGGAGATTGGCCGACCCTCGCAGCACAGGTTACATTGTGGTGCCCCTGATTTGGCTTCATATTGTATGGGCGCAAAAAGGTTCACCGGGCCAGCCGCAATGAGTCATGCATGACATCTGGAGAGGCTCGGGTGGAATATTAAGCGAGAAGGGCAGACCATGAGATGAGGGGATCTCAATGCCACGACCTCCCCAGACCCACATCGCAAATACACAATCGCAGGGTGTGTATTCGTCAGCTGGGCGTCATTCCGGATTACCAAGGGTGAGTAATAAATTAATGAGTACGGACAGACAGACAGACAATGGGTCGCAGAAGCACATGCCGCAGCGCTCATAGTGAGGGGAAAAAATAAACCCGTAAAAACAAAGTTTTTCAATATAAATCCTTTATATGCGTAGCATCGGGGCAGCTAGAGTCCTCTCGTCCTCTGGCTTGAGATGGCTGCCACCTATGGGTCAGATGATTGTCTGCCACCATTAAGCAATTGGTAATTAAATATTAAAAAAAATTCCCTAAACAGTGTAAAATTTGGGAAAAATTGTTTCACGAAAATTAATTGTCACGCACAACGAGTCTGTGTGCAAAATGTCAGCTCGATTGGATCACGGGAAGTGGGTTAAAAAACGACCGAAAGATTTGCACGGTCGTAAGCAAGCAAGCAAGCACGCAAGCAAGCAAGCAAGCGAACTTAATATAAAGGATTTTAAAAACAGGCGGTAATCATAGGTAGGCGCACGATTGGCCATGCGGTACAACGCGACCCCGTGCTTTTGAAGTCAGGAGGATAAAAGTGGAGCCTGGGGCCATTCAAAGGGGATCTTGTTTCAACCTCTCGGCCACCAAGACCCACTGCTGTCCTGCCTTCTCGAACCGCTCGCAGCATCCGCGTGACGCCAGCGAGTGCCGCCACGAGGCAGTGGTAGGCACAGTTTTTTTCCTCCTCCTCTCTCCGACTCTCACAGCATCCGTGGGATGCCGTGAGTACAGCTACGAGGTACGTGGTCGGGCGTTTGAGTATCTAGCAATTTTGGCAGCAGTAGGCTAGGCTTTTCTCGCTAAATATTCCCCCCGGGTAGTGCGGGGTTTGCGCCGAGAATTGAAAGTTAGTACAGAGCATAGGCGTGGTGTCTGTAATTTCTGTGTGGAGCAATTGCGTGGGGGAACGCTCGGCGAGATTGAACGCGGAGCCACAGCGTGTGCGTGCGTTCAAAGATAATCGGCCGCAGGTCCCGAGCGCGCTCGTACCACCCCTGCGTCAGCGATAGCTGTAGTGTGCACGGGTGTGTGGTTCAACTCGTGTGGCTACGAGCCAGCAGCACGAGTATGTCCCTCAGATAGGGCGCTATCGCGGGGGCCCTGATCACTCGGTCGGCAGGTACCCGCGGGAGCCAACCGACGAGGTGGAGGAGGGAGCAGAACGGGCGGACGTCGCGCCCCACCTGCCTAGCGAGGGCGGTGGAGTGGACGTCGGGCCCCGTGCCAGACAAATACAATATTGGGGCCTCCAACTGACCAATTGCCGCACCCTCTGAGCTAATAATGTTGTTAGTTATGCAACTCGTGACATCCGTAGTGGGTGTATGTGTGTGTATGCGTGCCTGCCTGCCTAGGATCCATCCTGGGTTTAACCATGCTGGATTGTTGTGAGGAGCTCACAAATCCTTAAAAGATCTGGACAAGATCTGGACAAAGTCCGATCAATGAGCTCCTCCGGCAGGCAAGGCTGCGTTGGCTGGGTCATGTAGCCCTCATTCCCAGCCACCGCATGCTTAACAGCTTTTGTTCGGCCGGAGTGAGGGGGCTAAATGGGCGTGGCATGGGCTAGAGAAGAGATGGAGTGATGTGGTACAAGAAGATGTGGAGCTGAATGGACTTGCCGATGACTGGTACCAGCGGTGTGAAGATCGGCTTCTTTGGAGGAGGCTCGTGAAGGACGCTACTGGGCAGTTGGAGGCAGTTTCCATCCAGCAATAACAGAGGGCAGAGGATCGACGCTCAAAACAATGAGCGGAGCGCCGGGTGGCTAAAACACGTCAGGTTGGCACAGTAGGGGGCACAGGTGGTGCATCGGCCAGTCGTCTTGGTAAGTCGACCAATGACACCTGAGTTTGTCCCGTCACCTCCTGTCAGCGGGCGTTCAACACTTAACGTGGCCTTAACGTGTACATAGCCTGGCACAAGCGCCGTGGTGATGTCACCGCCACTCAGTGGCGAATGGCGGTTGTTGTTGTTGTGTGTACGTGGACCACAGACATTCGAATACCCCCCAGCGGCTGGCTATTCACTCGGGATGCCTGAAGATCCCCGCTTCGTTCTCCTGGAGATACATTACAACAACCCCAGCGGGTTGACAGGTACGGAGACTCGCCACTCTCCCACAACTGGGTTGGGCCTCCTCTAGGTCAGCTCAACCTAAAGCGCATGTTCTAGTGCAGTGGCTCTCAAAGTGTGGGTTCCCAGTACCACCGGTGGTGGTGGTCCGTGATGCTCCTCCAGGTGGTCCGCAGTGGCTGTGATGCAAACGCAGCTTAATCCGGACAATTTATGTTACCTTTTGTTTCGGAAATGTATTTATATTTTACTTATTAAAAAAATGAAGTTATGTAAACTACCATGATTAAACTACCCTAACACAAACATCTAAATGCCCCCCCAAAGAAAAAAAGAATGCATAGCTGTATTTAAAAGAAGACATAATTTTCTTGGAATAAGAATCTATTTAGAGAGGTGAATGTGTTTTGTCATCAGGCGTGGGGGGGGGGGGGGGGGGCTGGGTGGTCCGCGGGCCAAACTAAATTTGAGAAACACTGCCCAAGTGCATGCGGTAAGGTTGCCTCTGCCTACCTCATTACCACCTGTGGCCTTGCCATTTTTGGGGTTCACACTCTTTCACTCCTGATATTGTCAGCGCATCGTTGCCGATTCAAGAGACTCACAGTGCACCGCGCTGGGATGAATAGGCGACTGATCCAAGGGACAATTACAACGAAATTTTCCCCATATAGCATTTAACGTGTTCCCGTTGGAGAATGTGCTGTTCGCGAGCACAAATATGATGACAGGTACAGTGCACGGGGAGGATCGGTGGTGTGACCAGCTCAAGCATTCGGCTGCATTCCAACACTGGTTTTCATTGAAGGCGGAGCCGACCTCGGAGAGGCCGAGGAGTGTTTCAGAGAATTATCTTCGCTGATGTTAGATGTGGACTGGAATTGAACACGGACCACCAAGCCAGTAAACACAGTGCGGAGGAAAAAACTGCGTATTACACGCAAGCACACGCACACAAAGATCCCCCTTCCCCCATATAACCTTCCTCAACATACTTTTTGAGCATGAGCTGTTAGCGAGCAGCACTTATGAAGGCCGACACGGCACACGAAGGGGTGGGTGGCCAACAACCACGCCCGGCCGCCTTTGTCTCCCTCGTGGCAAAACACGCCACACCTAGGGGAGACCCAGGACCGGTTCAGATAATGGTCACTGGTGATGGCCATAAGCGGTAATTAATCTAACTCGGGTCGCCGGGTTCGCAGCGTAGCGTGCTAACCGCTACACTACTACCGCTCGCGTGGCAACCGCAGGCAATGAAGACAGCTCCGGCCTCCGTTTCCACTACACGACCCAGCTGCGTCGCTTCGACGCGGGACTCCTGATGGCCGGGATCTTCGTGTCTCCGTTCCACTTCATTCCCCCCAACTCTGATTCCTTCGCCACGTACGGCATCTGTGACACCAACTCCTTTTCCACTCTCAACCGCAGCGGGGAAACGCAGGTGGTAGGCAAATGACGCATGAACCAAGTGTTCTGTTCGGCCCCCTGCTCCACCGCGACCTTTCCTCTTCCCTCTCCACCTTCCCTGTTCCATCCGCTCCAGAAACCGAAGAGCTGTCAAACCCCTCGGTTAGCCTCGGCAAAATGTGAGCTCGATTCTTCTCCGCTGCAGTCCCCTTCAACCTCCCCCCCCCCACCCACATCTATATAATTCCATCCCCTTGGCCATGCGCACCACTGAGATCTTTCCTCTGTTTAAATCTCGCTTAATGGTTTGGACGCTTTTTCTCCGGTGCTGCACCACAATCTATAATTTCACCCCCCCCCCCCACTTCCCCCTCTGGCTATTCGCACTGCTGCCACATTTTCCGTCCAATCAAGGGTTAGCTTTTCACAACCCATGGGTACGATGCAAGTTTCCTCCCTGTCGTACAGGACGGCGAGATGCAGGTGTTCGCCTCGTTGCTGCACTCACACCTGGCCGGTATCTCGCTGCAGGCACGCCACTTCAGGTGTGTTGTTGTGTGCAAGATACAGGTTTTTATTTGGGGTGGGATCGCGTAAATATAAATGCGTCGTTAAACCCGCCACCACCCGGCACAGCCAATTAGTGAGGTCTGTCACGTAAACAAAACGCGCCAATTCGTTACTGGTACAGCACACCGGTGTGTTGGAGAGTAAATCCACAACATTTACAATCTGAGTACGACGTTTCGCCAGTAATTACAACTAGCATTATCAGGCAACAGACAGATTTGTGGACAAATCCTGTTTCTAGCTGTCGTCTGATGATGCTAGTTGTAATTATTTGCGAAACGTCGTACTCACATTGTTACAACCAGCGGGCAGTTGTCAGAAATCAAAAAATGTCCTCCAGGGTCGGGCCTTAAAGTAGGTGGTGTGACCCATAAATCAATCGTGAATCATAACATTGTTTGTGAAAGCATGCAGGTTAAACATCACTCTCCTGGTAAATAACCCACGTAATTGTTTCTGCATTAAAGTTGTTGAATTTCAATCAACCGATGGCCATTTATTCGCACCCCCAACGAAACCGCGGCGAGCGTCGCGAAAAAACGACGGACGCTGCACTAACTCGGCCTCGTTCCATTTCGTGCAGAAACGGCACTCAGATCGGGGACATCGGTCGGGAGCCGAACTACGACTTCAACTTCCAGGAGACGCGGCACCTCAAGAAGATCGTGACCGTGCTGCCCGTGAGATCCCTGCCTCCCATCTGCATTACCTGGTTGTGTGGATGTGTGTAGGAGGTGCCGGGGAGTGGTGGCGCAGCGGTTAACGCATCGAGAGGCTGCACAATTATGAGAACATTGTATAACCGCTTGCTGCTGCCCTGCACTTGCTCGCTCTTGGAGAGAGAGGATGACTTGGAGGTGCCACGGTGGCGAGATGTTAACTATCTCGCATGGACTACAGCAGGTCGTAGGTTCAATCCTAACCCTGACGCCTTTATATTTGGAGTTTGCGTGTCTCTCTCTCTTCCCGTGGTCACGTGCATTTTTCTCCGGGTCCTCCGGTTTTCCCCTCCACATTCAGAAACATGCGTTTAGGGTATTTTGCTGCTATAAAATTCCACATGCTAAGCCACTTTGTTGAGCTATCATTGTGGACAGTGTGCTTCTGAAAAAGAGCTATATAGCTCAGTGGGCCTTACCTGGTAAAATATATATTTTTTAAAATTTCGTTAATCGTAAATTGCAAATCGGGAACACACAGTGGAAAGTGGAGTTGGTGTAACTTCCAGTTATAAGTTCCCCGACCTTCCGCAAGTGAACCATTACCACTCCACGTGACTTAAAATTACACCATGCCCAACAAAGTGGCACAGAGTGACAAATGTCAGCTGTTGTTGTTGCTCTTGTTGTTTTTTGTTGTGGTGGTGGTGTGTCTATGTGTTGCGCACAGGGTGACAAGATTGTCATGGAGTGCGTGTATAGAACGACGAATCGCAACAAGACCACTCTGGTATACAACATGAGCTGGCCAGTCGGTGACTGACACGCTATACAAGTACCCAGTCGGTGACTGACACGCTATACAAGTACAGACAGTCCCCGGGTTGCGGAAGACCCGACTTTCGGAAACCCGACCTTACGGGAATGCTCCCATTAATCATGTAACACAAATTGAATACGCGTAAATGTTTGCGTTAGTTACGTAAGCGTGGGTATTGCAGCGCGGTGAGGTTGTGGATGAATAACGTGGAGTGAGGAGGCGTAAGGCGGCCGAGTGAGGAGGTGTGGAGTGAGGAGGCGTCAGGTGGGCAGCTGCCTTAAGCCTCGCTCGAGCTTCACTAGGATTAAGGTAAATGGAATTTAACTTTGATTTTGGGGGGGAAATTGTTCAGTTTCCGACATATGGAAATTTCGGGTTACGGATCGTTCTCGGGAACCTAACCCTTCCGTAACCCGGGGACTGCCTGTACACAGCAAGACTACAAACGAGGGAGCAATTTGGTCCGTGCAGCTCGTTCGGTTGCGAGTCCCAGATCGATTCTAGAATCTCATCGAGGTGTTTCTTGAAGAGTCTCAGTGGATCAGCTTCCACGATTAGCACGGCTGGCCACTTACGGTGCAAAATAAGTTCAACGTACATACACACATGACACACATTTTGGGCTGGAGAGGTGGTACAGAGTGGTTAGCACCCTTTGCTATGAACCCGGCCATGGCCAACGGCGGTGGCAAGCAATATTCTGAACTGATTTCGAGCGTCCCACTTTCAGCTGCCCGCGCTGACCGACGTGGTGCAGTGGATACAGTCAAACGACCCCCAATAACTGGCGCGGCATGGGGGATGACTTCACCCAGCAGTGGGTTCACAAAGAGCCCCGTGGGTTACTCCACTCGTGGGGGTTCAATTCTAACCACTTTGCAACCCCCCCCCCCCCCACTCAGGGTGGTATGGCCACCGAGGACGAAATGTGTCTCACCTTCCTGCACTACTACCCCAAGGTGAACGTGTCCTCGTGCCTCAGCATGTCCGACGTGCCGAGCATGGCCGCCCTGCTCGGATACACCACCACCGGGTGAGTATCTCGGTGCCGGGAGTGGATTTTGCGTGCGTGTGTGTATGTGCATGTGAGTAATGCGTTTTTTTTTCTTGTTTCTTGGGGAGCGATGGTGGCAAACAATGTGAACTATGATCCCCAGTTGCATCATTTGCAAGTATTTTTGTTGTTGCAGATATCAGTGATGAACTGTCCACGCTTTTATGAACGTCACGGAATATTTTTACGTATTATACGGCTAATACACCAGCCGCATTAATCAGGGCGGCTTTCCGAAATCGAACCGCGAAACCGTTGCGTGTGCTTGTGTGTGCGTGTGGGGAGCGGTAGTGGTTAGCGCGAGAGTTCGATTCCCGCTAACCGCCAACATCGGTGACGAATATCTGCACTAGTCCTGGGCCTCCCCTAGGTCGACTCAGCCTCAAATGAGTACCTGCTGCTGTGTGTAAACATCGCCACTGGGGAGACAAAGGCGGCTGGGCGTGGTGCTGGCCACCCACATCCTCATGAACCTAGCCGGCCTTCATAGGTGCTCGCTAACTATTCCAACTACTCCACCACCTCTTCCCCACTTTTCACCCTACCCCTGGCTGCTGACCTGGTCTGCCCGGACCTCTGGTCTGGGCTAGGCTGTAGTGGTGGCCGCTACTCCCAATGACCTACCACCCATTACTCACTTTCCCCCAACCTCCGGCTGCCCACCACCTCTTCAACCCTCTCCGCACGCCTTTCCTCGGGGGGGGGGGGGGGGGCTACCCACGCGGCCGTTACTTGCGTACCTTTTTTTCCCGCTGGCTCATCGGCGACGGGTGTTCTGTGAATGAGAAGTCACCTGCTGACAACAGTACGCCCCTACCGGCGGCGTCACCGGCTGCCGAAACCAGCTTGGCCACTCAAACTTTTGGCTCGCTTGACCCCGGGCTTCTTCTGTCACTAATTTCGTCGCCTACTTCTGAAATATGGCAAGGAATTACTTCTCGTGATTTTCTGCTGGGCCTGAAATACTAAACTAAATTTATTTCACGAGTTAAGGCTCACTGAGCTATGTAGCTCTTTTTTCAAAGCAACCTGGCCGCAAATTATAGCTCAACGAAGCAGCTTATTGCGTGAAAATTTACTCTAAACGAATGTTGACTCTAAATGTGGAGGGAAAAAAAGAGGACTCGGAGAAAAATCCACGCAACCACGGGGAGAACATGCAAACTCCAAATATACAGCAGGCGTCACACGGTCGGGATTAAAACCACGACCTTTGGTATACCAGGCGAGGGAGTTAACATGCTTTATTGTTTATTCATTTTTGAGTTTGCTTTGCAGTAGAATTTTGATTTGCCTGGTAAGTGCCTGTTTGTGGGATTTGATCCTTATATATAATCAATGTACAGAGGTATTGGATGCTATTTGCATGAGTGACGCTATATAAAATGAAGGTAAGAGTATTATTTATAGCACTTTCCCCAACAGGCTGTTAAGGCCATGCGTGGGGGGTGGATCTTTCTCTTGTGTATTGCATTCCACTGACTCACGGGGGGACCGAATGGCCGATTTAATCAGTGCCCCTATGCGTTGCACAGAATGTACCCCTACGTTATCACCTCCCCGCCAAAGGACGCGGGGAGTTACCTGTTCATGGTGTTTAACGAAATCAACTGGACTGCAGAGAGGACCAGGGACGCGGAGAGAACGGCACTCACGTCCCAACAACTCGTCATACAACAGCAAATGGTGAGGACTCAGCAATTCTTATATAATCAGGGCCGTCCATGGAGTAGGAGGGAGGGGGGAGGTGCGAGGAATGTGGAATTTGCCCCAAGGCTGCAATAGAGATGAATGTGTGGGGGCTGACGTCTTCCCCACTGCCCTCGCTGGGCAGGTGGGGCGTGATGTCCACTCCCTCCACTCCCTCCTCCACAACGTCGATCGGCTCCCACCGGGCCCCCACCGACCGGGTGATCGGCCCCCCCGCGCTGGCGCAAATACCCACTACCTGGGGGAATATTTTGCGAGAAGAGCTTAGCGTAACTCTGCCTACGAACCCACTCAATCCAACGTCCTACCACGTACCTCGAAGCTATACTCATGGCGTCGCCCGGACACTGTGAAAGTCAGAGGGAGGACGCGAGAAAACTTTACCTATCACTGCCTCGAAGCAGCACTCGCTGGCATCACACGGATGCTGCGAGCGGCTTGAGGAGGCAGGATGGCAGGGGGTGGGTCTTGACGGCCCAGAGGTTGAAAATAAGAGACCAAAATCATCCTGGGCCACTCTTTTTATCCCTTAAACTTCAAAGGCCCAGGGTGACGTCGCACCGTGCATCCAATTATGCGCTTACCTGTGGTTACCGTCCCCCCCTGTTACCGCGTCCTTCCTCTGATCCGCGGTGGCGGTCGCCGGCCACCCATTGTCCCTCATTGCCCATTGTCTGGAAGGGCACCCGGCTTACGCTTTTCTTGCTTAATATTCCGCCCTCCGTCCTCCCCCCAATGTTGTGAGTAACTCATTGCGGTTGGCCCATAGAACCTTTTCTTTCTGCCCCCGTACAAGTTTAAACCAATTTTAGGGGCATCGCAATGTAACCTGTCTTGCGAGGGTCGGCCAATCTCCTGGCACCGGGAAACTTCCCTTCCAGGGGTCCTTCGGATTAAAACCCGATGTGCCAGGCAATCCCCCGCCAGGACACTACATGGGTGCAAGTGCTGCGTGTGTGCGTGTGTGCCTGTGTGCGTGTGCTCAGGGTGGGGGGTAGTGGACAATCGCGGTGCTTGCGGATTTGCTCCGCGATCATGGCACCACAAATCCCATTTACATTCACATTCTGTCTTGGATAAGATTGCGTTTCCCCATCAGAAGAGATGAGGTTTTATTTATCAAGTAATTCAATACGTGGAAGGGGTTCTGCGACGGATAGGGGTTGTGTGGTGGATGAGATGAGTGTTCTGCATCGAGTGAAAGAGTTAACAATTTTAGGAGACAGTGGTTTTGTGTTGGATGAGATAGACAGATTGAGTCAAAAATTCGGCACCGAATGAAATGGAAATTTTAACTTGTATGACATACGAGTTCTCAATCGGAGTCGGATGGTTCCCTGTCAGCTGAGGCAATGTATGTTTATTGAACTTCTTTTGCACCATATGTGGCCAACCGTGCTCATTGGAGATGCGGGGAGAAAGACAACAAACTAACACAACAAGCAGTTGTGAAGAAATTAGTTTTCAGTCTAGATTTAAAGGTGCATAGCTCCAGTAGCGTCCTAATATCGGAAGGAAGAGCGTTCCAGACGGCCGCAGAAGCGCATCCGAAAGCACCACGCGATGGGGTGACCACCATCTTTGTTCGATGGGTAAAGCAAACAAAGAAAAGTGTTCTTCATCACGAGGCAGCGGGGCTTTACATCGGGTGAATCTGTGACGGGCTCTGATTGGATGGGACAAGGGCTCGCCTATCGTGTGAAGAGGTGACACACGATGTGCGTTACGTGGCGTTCCCCGCGTGTGATATCCTCCTCCCCTGAATCTGCGTGCGTGTGTTTCACCACACAGTCTTCCGTCAACTTCATCTACAACGGAATCATCCCAGGAATTCCCGCTGATCCCACGCTTCCTCCCTGCGTCCACAATAAGTGCGGGAGAAACGGCAGCCTGCCCGCCGCCACCGCCGCCTCGCCGACTGCCCCTCTGCTCGCCACTCTTATGCTGCTCCTACTGGCTAGAGCGATCTGTGACTAAGCAAATGGGAAAAGGGTGCCCAAAAATGCTGTAAGCTGACAAGTGCCTGGTATCGCATATATTTAAGAACACACACACATATGTGCCTTGTATTGTACAATTGCTCTTAAGCCTCATCCATACCACCAACTAAACATTGCTGTGTGGCCGTGTTGTCACTTCGAAGCACCGAGGCCTGTATTGTGTCCAACACGTAGAATAGTCCAACTTCCATGTGCTGTGCTGTTGACGGTAAACTATACAATATACGTAGACTGTTACTAAAAAATGGGCCGTGTGGGGTCAGTGTTGATGTTAGCACCAGTTGTTTTAACAGACAAACCGTGGACCGGTTTTAACTTCTCCGAAACTCATCAGTAGGCTGTAGCTCGTTAAATAAATGCTGCTTACTGGATTGCCTGAGCTGTAAGAGCGTTTTCCTTTCGTTTAAAGTGAGGTTGGAGGAGGGGGGGGTATAGCAGCCCGTGCGCTGCAAGCAAAACGTTTTCCATGTCCATGGAATCTTCAGCGCATCGGTCTCAACTACGAGATATCACCGCCCAATGAGCGTCCAGCAATGAATATACCAATGATCACTTCAATTTTCAACGCGCCGTTCACGATTCGCCCACTCTCCGCGGCAAGAGAGAACGACTTCCGAGACGTCTAGGAGGAATCAGAAGCAAATGGGAAAGGCAGCCAGGTGGTGAGCCAGTGCCAACCCCCCCACCCCCCCCCAGCTCTGCAGTTCTCCATATGCTAAGATGTTTTCAACCTATTTAATGAGCGCTTGCATAAAACATACAGATGGAACTGGCTGAGTCCACATTTTCGCTGCACGGCCTTTCCCGGATAGCCAGGGTATGGCTCCTTCTCGACATGGGCACCACGGTGGAGAGATTGAACTCGCGAGGTATACAGGAGGTCGTGGTTCAATCCCGACCCTGACGCCTGTATATTTGGAGTTCGCGTGTCTCTCCCCGTGGTCGCGTGGATTTGTCTCCGAGTCCTCCGGGTTTTCGCTCCACATTTAGAGTCAACGTGCATTTCGAGTATGTTGCTGCTATAAATGTCCACATGATAAGCAACTTGGATGAGCTATCATTTGTGGCCAAGTCGATTTTTTTAAAGAGCTATATTGCTCAGTGGGCATTACCTGGTAAAATAAAAAAAACTGTTAAACAAATAAAATATGGAGTTTTACAACTTTGTGTGAAAATCATAAGTTTTAAACACGCGAGAGTGAAATATGAGAGATGGGCATAACGTGACTCAACCGTCTCCACATGATATTTGCACATCACGCAGGAAGCTCGATAAATACCTGAAGAAGAAGGCATCTCTTGCAGGGACTGCACAACTACAAAGACACAGCTGGCAGATACCAGAATAATGAATTGCAGTTGATGTTTGAAAATCTGTAAATCACGAAGAGCAACATACCAATGTGCCTGAGGCAGAACGTGGTTTGTGTGTCCCACCTGCGATGAGCTGATTCAGAAATTATACAAGGACACAAATTGGGCCGAAAAAAAAATCAGAATAGTAAGTAAAACAAGCTTCGGGGCGTAATGGCTTGGAATTAGACGAGAAGGGGGGAAGGCCGGAATGGGGGGAGACATGGGGTTGCATAACTTACGCAAATTAGATGTCTCGTTTTGACTGGTTCAAAAATTACGTGGGTTTGGGCAGACGGTGGTCGAGACTGGGCGACAGACTGGCAGCCAAACGAAGTAACAAAGATAAAGATCCCTCGTGTAGTCTTAACGGACGTGGGGGTGGGTGGCCAGCACTACGCCCGTTCGCTTTTGCCTCCATATGACACGGGGCCACCCCTTTGTGCACATGCGCAGGAATACGCTTTTTACATCGACGGGCGGACCTTACTCATCTACAGATACAAAAAAAATGCAACTTGTCACCCGCCGCACGGTATTCGCTAACTGTCGAAGAGGGAGAATGACCCAGGAGGCACGAGGAGGAGGAACCACAGGCCAGCGGGAAGGGCAGCAACCACCCAATGATCCGGTGGGGCCAACAATTTCCCAAGTTCTGCGTTTCCCCTATATATTTAAATATGTTTTCAGCCAATGTATGGCAGTTATTTACATGTGCGAGGACAACCGGAGCACCCGAAAAAAAAACCCCCCACACGTGTAAGATTGGGCAACAAATCTACATCCCGGAAACAGATTGCGATCAGTCAACTTGCTGTACTGCCTTCTTCTGGCCGAGCCATGCTATTATTGCACCACCTTGACGCCCACTGGAAGGGAGTTTCGCAACATTTGTGCAGCGATTCACCGACCCATCACTGCGTCCCGGGTGTTGGATTACAAGCCACGTGCAGAATAGCCACCACCGCCCTGCTGATCGAAGTTGGGCAGTGGCATTCCTGTGTGGGTGCGTTATTTGAGATCGTGACAACAATGACACTGCCCTCTATTCCTAATTGTCCGTCAGTGCAGGAGACAGCCTCATCTCGCGTGCAATCTTCTTATGCAGTTCGAAACATACAATTTGTTGTTGTTGAAGGAGGGAATTTGAGACTGGGAGGTTTTTCCTGTAGGATCGGCGATCAAGTTATTTTTCGGGAATGTTAGACAGTGTCTCAGGCTCTTCTCCGCCGAGGCGCAGGGATTGCACGCGGACACTTGCGCAGTCGACATTTCTTGCTGTGCGGAATTCTCAAGGGGCACGAGCTCCTCCGTGAACACCAATGGGAACCACGCGAGAATGAAATTTGAGAGATGGACACGAAGTGACTCAACCTCGTCCACGCGACTTTTTGTACATCACACCGGCGAGCCCGAGACACGCACTGCCGGGCATATATCCAGAATTGCGAATTTACTATGCGTTTGAGTGATTTTTGGAAAAGTTTAAAATCAAGAAAAGAAACATATCAATGTGCCTGAGGGAGCACGTGCTTTGTGTATCCCATCTTCTATTAGCTGCTTCATAAACTATTTACTATTTTAATTTACCAGGTAAGGCCCACTGGACTACATAACTCTCTTTCAGAAGCGACCTGGCCACAAATTATAGCTCAACAAAGTGGCTTATCTTATGGAAATGTACAGCAGCCAAATACTCTAAACGCATGTTAATTATAAATGTGGAGGGTAAACGGAGGTCATGGAGAAGAGGAGAGAGAACATGCAAACTCCGAATATACAGGGCGTCAGGATCGGAAATCGAACCCCCGACCTCCTGTATACCAGGCGTGTGTGTAGATAGCGGTAGTATAGCAGGTTCGTCGCCACAGTGGCACCCACGGCCATGACATTTTTTTTTCTGTTTGCGCGGATTTTTCTGTTTGCGCGTAGTCACTTTAAGATGTTTCTTGTTCATGTTTTTGTTTGTTGCGGTTGCACCCGATTCAAGAGCCGAATGGCTCACAGGGCTATACCAAATAAATGAACCTGAAAAAAAATGACGTAGAAAGGTGACCATGACATATTCGTGCAGTCCACCAATCTTCGACTCCACCGTGCTGGATTACAAGGCACGCGTGCCATCGCGGCGTTTAAATGGAGACAGAGTGAAGCGTTTCACGTTCTACAATAACGTGTGCTTTCTCTCACGTGAGAAAAAAAACCCACGTAAAATTTAGTGTTGCAATCGGTTGAATGAAACGAATGTGTAAACTGTACTTTTGAAGTCACGCACCCAGGTCACATATGCTATAAATATGTTATCTATGCATTTAAATGCATTTGGATTTCAGAAATTGTTCCGCAATACTATACCCCACTAAATTTACATGACCTGCTGGCGTGCGTTTGAACACCAAATATGTAACCGCCCCAAGTCCTCCGTGACCCCAACTTCCTCGTCTGTCTCCGCTACCACCGCCGCCGATCTTATAAAGGCCTCACGTCCTTCTTCACTGGCAGTGCATCACCACGTGTTGACGATGTCAGTGAAGATGATGGCACCGGTGGTGGTGGTGGTGATGATGATGATGGTGGGGGTGATGAAGGTGTCCTGTGCTTTGAACGCCACGACCAATCTCACGTTGAGTGCGGTTCTGGCTCCTGGAGACTTCGACATCTCGTGGGAGTTCGACAGCGACCAGATCGTCCTGGAAGCTCGGGTTCGCACCCGGGGCTGGGTCGGGCTGGGTCTGAGCTCCACGGGGATGATGGCCGGCTCTGACGTGGTGATCGGATGGGTGGACAGCGCAGCCGCTACCCACCTCGTGGTGAGTGACAGGCAACGATGTGGCTTCGATTTTTGGTCACGGTGTCAGGACGAAATCACTAAAATCATTGAGCACCATGCATGATTTATGCTCAGTGATTGTCGCGATGTTGATTTTTAAAATATATATGATAACCAAAATCATCATGATCGTTATCAAGATCACACATCCATTATCATTATAATCAGCATTATCATCGTCACAATCACCTTTGTAATTATTACAGTCACCAACATATGTATCACAGCATCATTGCGATACTGCTGGTATAGATGTGTATGTACACGTGTGTGTGTGTAGGGAGCGGTAGTATAGGAGTTTGCTCACTGCGCTATGAACCCGGGGACCCGAGTTCGATTCCTGCGCATGGACAACACCAGTGACGATCACGTGAACCGTTCCTGGGCCTCCTCTAGGTCGAAAAAGCCTAAAATGAGTACCTGGTGTGGAGTGTAAACATCACCACTGGGGAGACAAAGGCGGCCGGGCGTGGTGTTGGCCACCCACCCTCTCGTGTGCCGTGCCGGCCTTCTTAGGTGCTCGCTAACAGCACTTGCCCCAACAGTCTGTTAAGGGTATAAGGGGGGTATTTGTGTGTGTGTGTAGACATGTGTACACGTGTGTGAGTCTGTATTTCTCAACCCTACTCCCACGAACCTGGCAAACATGCTTTGAAGTATTATTAGGGGTGTTAAGCATTAAATATCATCACGTCCTAATTTCGAATCCTTGTCCCTGCCATCTTCACCTCCTTCTCCCCCCTTCTCGGGCGATCAGGACGCACACATCGAGGGGGAGCGGAGCCTGGTGCGGGACGCGAGCCAGGACTACAAACTCGTGGGGCTCAGCGAGAACGGCACCCACACGGTCATGCGCGTGGTGCGCGCGCTGCGCACGTGTGACGCCAACGACAGGGACATCACCGTGCGTGTTGCACACACACACACATGTGTACACACAAACACGAGTATACACACACGAGTATACAAAAACACACGAGTATACAAAAAACACACGTGTACACACGTGTATACACACCCGTGCACACACACACATGTGTACACACAAATACACACCTGTACACACAAACACACGTGTACAACAACCGCCATTCGCCACTAATTGGCGGTGACGTCACCACGACGCTTGTGCCAGGCTAAGTGCACCTTGAGGCCATGTGAGGTGTCGAACGCCCGCTGGCACGAGGTCACGGGGCAGACGCAGATGCCACGGGTCAACTGACTGAGACGACTGGCTGATGCACCACCTGTGCCCCCTACTGTACCAACTTGCTGTGCTTTAGCTACCCGGCGCTCCGCTCGTTGTTGTGAGCGTCGCTCCTCCGCCCTCCGTTGTTGTTGGAGGGCGACTGCCTCCAAATGCCCAGTAGCGTCCTTCACGAGCCTCCTCCACAGAGGCCGATCTTGACACCGCTGGTACCAGTCATCGGCAAGTCCACTCAGCTCCACGTCCTCCTGTACCACATTACTCCATCTCTTCTCTAGCCCGTGCCACGTCCGTTTAGCCCCCTCGATCCGGCCGAACAAAAGCTGTTAAGGCATGCGGTGGCTGGGCATGCGGGCTACATGACCCAGCCAACACAGCCTTGCCTGCCGGAGGAGCTCATCGATGGGACTTTGCCCAGATCTTTTAAGGATTTGTGAGCTCCTCACACAATCCAGCCTGGTTAAACCCAGGAGGAATCGTAGGTAGGCCAGCCTAAATGTTTCCAACCGGCGAAGATGCTCCATTAGGGGGATCCACGTTTCCCAAGCATAGACAAGGGAGGAAATGACTGTGGCCGAGAAGACCTGAAGCTTCGTGCGGAGCAACAGACCAGGTAGCTTCCACACAGCGTTACGCAACTGATGAAAATATATTGCCGCTCGACTGATTCGGAGTGAGACCTCTGCTGTTAAACTGGAGCCAGGCATAAGCACACTGCCCAAGTATGGGAAACTCTCCACTCTCTCCGCTACTGCCCCATCACCGATTGGGAGTTGTGGGGGTGGAGTGTCCGATGGTACAAAATACCCAGGCAGGTGCTTAGTTTTGGTGGGGCTGATGGTAAGGCCCCACCTCTTAGTGGCACGCTCCAGTCTCAGCAGCAGCGTCTCCAACTCCTCTTCTGAATGATCAGCTATTACCAAATCATCGGCATACATAACGTGGTTGACCAATAGGGAGCCATCCCTAGATCGAAACCCAGGCGTCGATCAGCCTCCCAATATATCTGTACCAAATGGAAATTCCCCCAGTACAGCTATTGAAGGCTTCACGAACTACGCGGTCAAAATAGATGTTAAATAATGTGGGAGCCAGAGGACATGCCTGTCGCTCCCCAAGGTGTGCAGGGAAAGGCTCTGACTCCCGGCCATGTAGTTTTGCCCGGGCCCGCTCACCATCATGAAGGTGCTTAATGATCGTGAGCAGAGGGTCAGGGACTCCGAAAGCACGAAGAACAACCCAGAGCCCAGGCCTACTGATGGTATTGTAGGCCTCACCAGGTCAATTAAGCAGAGCTGTAGGTCTTCCCTATTCCCTATACCTCTGCTGTAGCAGACGGACAGAAAATATGGAATCTGTGCAGGCCCGCCCTTTCCTGAAACCACATTCGGGCTCCGCAAGCCTCTCTTTAGTGTGCCAAGCAAGGCGATGTTGAATAATCCTTTCCAAGACCTTTACCGGCACACTGATGAGTGAGATGCCCCTGTAGTTGTTACAGTCTGTGCGGTCCCCCTTCTTAAAGAGGGGGACCACCAGGGCATCTTTCCAATCCTGCGGAACCCATCCAGTGGTCCAGACTGTTGTTATGATGTCATGTAGGGCAGTCTGTGCACAAACGCCACCCTCCCTCAGCATTTCGCTTGGGAGATCATCTCTGCCGGTGCCTTTCCTGGTCTCAGACTCTGGATCGTCCTCAGTACTTCCTCCACAGATGGCACCTCAGCCAGCCACTCACAGGGGGTGACTTCTTCCAATATTTGAGGCACCGCAGCATCGGCAGGGTAATCCGCACTTTGTCCCACGTTGTTTTTCTGGGTGAGGGATTTCCCCTCCCCCAGGACCTCACAGAAATGCTCAGCAAATCTGCAAACATGTTCCAGGGGGTCGGAGATTGGATCACCGTTCTTTCCCCGAAAGATGGTAATAGGTGTGGTGCTCCAGGTTACTTTTTTGATGAAGTTAAAGAACGATTTGTGATTGCGGGCCACTGAGGCAGACTCCATCTCCTCAGCAACCCGCAACCACCACCCATCCTTGCAGTGCCTCACGGCTCTCCAAACCTCCGAGTGAAGGCTGCGGTAAGCCTTCTCATTCTCCGACGTGGGATGCTGTAGCCTATGAGAGTGGGCCTGTCGCTTTTTCTCAGCCAGCTTGAACGCCTCCTCTGTCAGCCAGGGGTCTCTGGGGAGGTCTGGACCATGTACCCAAAGCAGCCAATGCAGCTGCATGAGCCACAGTCCTAAACCTCACCCATGTCCCCTCGACATCAGGAGGAGTCGGGGACGATGCCAACCCCAGCCACAAGCGATGATGAAATTCTCGCTTGCAACTTTCATCAGCTAGCTGAGACCATGCCACTAAGGGTTTGAATGGGGTCATGGGTGTACACCCACCACCGGAGTGGAAGAATGGCAGGCGCATCTTACAAATGACAAGTCGATGGTCAGTGGGAAGATCAGCTCCATGGTCGGTCCTGGTGTCAAGGACACGGGTCCGCATCCGCTGTTCTGTCACTACGTAGTCCAGCAGATGTTCTTGCTTGGACCCGGCATGCATCCATGATGTGGTGTGGATGCGCCAATGCCCATGGCCTGTACAAAAATTTAGCAGCCTTCTATCGTTGTTATTGAGCTGATCCGGCCCATGCCTTCCAATTACTCCAAACCAGGTGCCAGCATCATGACCAACTCATGCATTGAAGTCACCCAACAAGATGACTCGATCCGGAGGGGCCACTTTAGCCAGCACCTGCTACAGGACGTCATAGAAGGCATCTAACTCATCGGCCTTGCCTGCATCCCTCCACGGATATTCGTGTTCAGTGGGGGCAAAAGTAACCACCACTCCTCACCTCTGGTTGATGGGAAGGCGAGCCCAAAGTAGCCTGGGGTTTACAGCTTCCCACACCTCACCACCATGCACCCACGCCCCCTTCATTATTTTACTGAGAAGAAGAGCCACACCCTGTTGTTTGTCAGTCTTCTGCACCGAGTAGAGGACTGTCCACCCCTCATGGTGGCAGGAGCCAGAGTCGGTCCAACGGACCTCCTGAATACCACAGAAATCAAGGCGGTACCAGTCCAGCTCCCGACAGAGGAGTGGCAGACTCTCCTCCGCAGTGAGCGTTCGAACATTCCACGTGGCCATACACAGTGGTTTTTTGTTGTTTCTGGAGGAGCCCCGAGGGTAAGGATTCAGTCTCCTGGCTCCGCCAAATGGGGTTTGGCCAGGAGACGTCATAGATGCCTGTCCCCCCGGGACTGATGGCTTTAATCTAAGTTGTCTTGTGGTTGTTGTTGTTTGACTTGCATCCCACTGGGATTTTTGCACACAGCTTTGTTGTACGGTGCTTTTTCTGGAATATTTTGCTGTTTTTTCCTGGATTTTTCTGTTTGCACATAGTCACTTTAAGATGTTTTATTGTTCATGTTTATGTTTTGTGTTTGTTGCGATTGCACCCGATTCAAGAGCCGAATGGCTCACAGGGCTACACCTAATAAATGAAACTGAAACAAACTTAATAAATATTTACCTCGTAGTTTAGTGGTAGTTAATTCAAGGTGGAGGGGTTACCAGCGCCTCTCACCTATCCAGAGCCCCATTTGGCCGCTGTGGCGGCTACAAATGCCATGAGGGGAAAGGACAATCTGAATTGGCCCTCCCCCCAAGGCATTGCCCACGACAGCGTTGCCCGTCCGGCACCACGAGGTGGTAGGGGGTTGTTTTGCTGGGCACGTGTACACACACGCACACATATGTGTACATGCACACAAAGACAAAGATCCCGCAGCATAACCTTAATAGACTGTTGGGGCAAGTGCTGTGAGCGAGCACCTCTGAAGGCTGGAACGGCACACGAGGGGGTGGGTGGCCAACATAACGCCCGGACGGCTTTTTCTCCCCCAGTGGCAAAGTTTACGCACCGCACCAGGTGCTCATTTAAGGCTGAGTCAACCCAGAGGAGGGCCCCATGACCGGTTTAGATAATCGTCACTGATGGGTGACAAGTTTAACTCGTGCCGCCGGCGTTTCGTAGCGCTTAACCGCGACACCACGGCTCCCCATGCTACTCCGACACAATGCGCGCACGCACGGCTGACACACAGGAGGACACGGTGCGCCTGATTTGGGCCTACGGCACAGACAAACCGAAGAGCGAGAACATGACCGACGTCCCATACCACAGCACGGACACGCGGGGCTCCAAGAGCATCCAGCTCCTGAGGCAGGGATTTCCTACCGAGCAGCCCCTGCCGCAGAACTACTCCACGTTCGACGCGGTGCAGAGCCAGGTGAGGCAACGGGCAGCCTGCGCTTGTGTGGATTGATGGCGAATTTACGGATGATGACGATGATTGTGATAAAATATATATCGGCGTCGGATGCATCTTGTGTAACTCCGACGGGCCCCCGTCTAATCCGGTTGCATTGGATTGTTGTGGTCAACTGGTCGGGAATCAGATCCTTCAGGGGGCAGGATTGACACTCCAATGTTTGTTCAGTAGATTGCATTGACAACCTCCTTGCTGTACTGCCATTACACCGACTGTGTTTGGGGCTGTCACGTACGATGTTCCCTGCTTGTCCCACTAAACCCTGGCACATTTAAAAGTACACACAACCGCATCGCAGGCGTGCGCGCCATTCCGTGATATATTTTGAGTTTGCATCTTCTGCCCGTGGTCGCGTGGACTTTTCTCCGGGTCCTATAGTTTTCCCCTCGACAAAGTCAAGCGTTTAAAGTATTTGGCTGTTTTACATTTCCAGGTAAAAATCTACTTCGTTGAGCTATCGTCTGTGGTCGCTTCTGAAAAATAACTATATAGCTCAGTAGGCCTTACCTGGTAAAAAATTTTGTTTAGTTTTAGTTTAGTTTTATCAGAATGAGAAGTGTATTTCCCGAGTGAAGCCGATTGAAAAAAGAAGCTCCCCTTATTCAGAGGGCGACCACACCAAGGCATTCTACCAATACAGATACCAAAAAAAAGTAATTATGTAATAAATAATATTCACACTTCAACTTTAGTAGTATCTACTGACTCGATATATGCCAACACACCCTACATACAATAATACAAGTCAGTGTAGGGTGCCTATACACCCTACATACAATAGAGTCAGTGGAATCTGCACACATTGGGGGGAGGGGTAGAGGACATCAGTGATGTGAATCGTCAGTTTAAATGAGCACAGAGAAGACAGCAGGCTGGAAATACCAAGAGACCAAACTAGAGGTGGTTCCAAAACTTTGGGGCAGATACATTCAAATACTTTTCATGCAAATTAGGTGAGAATTTTTTGGAACTTTTCACAATCAGATAATAAGCGTAAATGCCTTTAACAGTGTCTCATAACACGTGCGCACAATAACTGCAAAGTACGCTGTCACGCGGCGTCGCATGTGAACAAAAAATGCGTTGTGCAATGGTTCTTACATTCCAAATGAAAATTTCCGCAATGACTTGACACATTAGTGCGTCTATGCGAGTTAAACTGAGCCAGTTGTGCAACAAGCTCACCGTCATACTCATTGATCATTGGTTGGCTGCTAGCAAAGTTGTACTTATTTTATTTATTCACTAGTTCATGAAGCGTGTCTTCGTCAGGAAAATGTTTTCAATGAATATAATAATTAACCCGTGATTTTTAGCAATTGTTATCGACAATCAGACACTAACTACTACTCCAAAAATGTGTATTTCTCCCCCAAAAAACACGCAAAATTGTTGACGAATTGATTCAAATTATTCTAAAGTATTATAAAAGCCCGGCGTTCCGTTTGTCCGTCAACTAAATTATGAGAGCCTTTCAGAAGGCCTGAATCAAAAAGTTGAAGAAAGTGGGCCTCACCCCCCAGATGTGAGGGTAAAAAGTTGATCCAACAGGTTTCCAAAAATTGTCGCCCCCCAAACAAAAATTTCACCCCCCCAAAAAGAAATGTAGTCTGTAGGCATATACCTACACACCCTATATACAAGTCACTAGTATTTACTGACTATATATGCCTACACAACCTACATACAATAGTCACTAGTATCTACTGACTATATATGCCTACACAACCTACATACAATAGTCAGTAGTATCTACTGACTATATATATCTACACAACCTACATACAATAGTAGTATCTATTGACTATATATGCCTACACAACCTACATACAAGTCAGTAATATCTACTGACTATAGTAGTATCTACTGACTATATATGCCTACACAACCTACATACAAGTCAGTAGTATCTACTGACTATAGTAGTATCTACTGACTAGATATGGGGACATCAGTGGGGGGGTGTGCATGGCGTAGTGCACCGAGAAGCCCTCTCTGCAGGAGCTTGGAATAGTTCAAGTTCATCTTCTTGGTTCTTTCGGTAAAGTCACGTAGAAGGGAAGTAATAAAATAATAAAAAATAATAAAAATAAAACATAATAAAATTATTCTCACGACGTTTCGGCCACAACGCAAGCAGCCGTCCTCAGGTGAAAACCAGGTCCGTCGAGGCGACAGAGTCTGAATGAAACAGCACACGAGCTTGGAGCATATATATAAGCTGGGCGCATTGACAAAGGAATTTGCATATCAAGAGGAATTTAGCATATTTATGGGAAATGCAGGAATGTGATTAGTACTGCATATGCATGTGCATTATGCAGGATTAACAGCATCAAAGGGAGCTGCAGTTGCTGCTGCTGCAGTTGCTGCTGCTGCTGCAGTTTCTGCTGCTGCTGCAGTTGCTGCTGCTGCTGCAGTTGCTGCTGCTGCAGTTGCTGCTGCTGCTGTAGTTGCTGCTGCTACTGCAGTTGCTGCCTTATCCATTTAATATAACACTATGTATTATTCTACCTACATAGTGTTATATTAAATGGATAAGGCAGCAACTGCAGTAGCAGCAGCAACTACAGCAGCAGCAGCAGAAACTGCAGCAGCAGCAGCAGAAACTGCAGCAGCAGCAACTGCAGCTCCCTTTGATGCTGTTAATCCTGCATAATGCACATGCATATGCAGTACTAATCACATTCCTGCATTTCCCATAAATATGCTAAATTCCTCTTGATATGCAAATTCATTTGTCAATGCGCCCAGCTTATATATATGCTCCAAGCTCGTGTGCTGTTTCATTCAGACTCTGTCGCCTCGACGGACCTGGTTTTCACCTGAGGACGGCTGCTTGCGTTGTGGCCGAAACGTCGTGAGAATAATTTTATTGTTTTATTTTTATTATTTTTTATTATTTTATTACTTCCCTTCTACGTGACTTTACCGAAAGAACCAAGAAGATGAATCCCTGCAGTCACGAAAGCTTTAAATCAAAGTTCAAGTTCATTTATTAGGTATAGCCCTGTGAGCCATTCGGCTCTTGAATCGGGTACAACCGCAACAAACAAAAAACAAAAACATGAACAAAAAACATCTTAAAGTGAATATGTGACTAAGTACAAACAGAAAATCCAAGAAAAGACAGCAAAATATTGCAGAAAAAAACACCGTACACCAACGCTGTGTGCAAAAATCCCAGTGGTTTGCAAGTCGAACAACAACAACCACAAGACAACTTAGATTAAGGCAATGAGTCTAACTCTGTACTACAACAAACAAACATGGCTAAACCAATACACTTTTCGAAATCACCAAAATAAAGCCATGAAAGCAATGAAAAAGCAATCATAGGAATTGTGACGAAATTTTCACAATAAATGGCATAAACAACATGTACTACCAAAACCCTGCAGCCATGGCTGGCTGCATAAGGCTGCTGTAGGCTGCCGAAATTCTAATACAGTACCTCCTAAATCACCCAGGAATGTCCTTAACGCTCGTGACGTCATTCCACATCGACCAGCCCCCCTCATTAATATTCATGAACAGGTTAGTCCTCCACATGGACCCCCCCCCCCTCATTAGCAGGTGACGTCACTCCACATGGAGCACCATCCCCCCACATTAATAATCATGAGCAGGTGACGTCATTCCATATCAAACAGCCCCCCTCATTAATCATCATTATAAGGTGACGTCCTCCAAATGGACACCCCCGCCATTAATAATAATTAGCGGGTGACGTCACTCCACATGGGGGGCGAGGCGCCTCCTCCCCCCTCCTCGGCGTCAACTTACAACCCTCATTACAAAGGCAGAACCCTCATGTTACACTATCTCCTTAACGCTATTGAGACATAGAAGTAATAAGTAACATATAAAAAATACTTTTTTTTTAAACACGCTTTAATGAAATGTACCGTACGAGTAATGGTAGAACTCCACGACTCCAGGAAGTGGCCCCGAAGCTTGCCATAACGTAAGGGGCCGTGGTGATTTACAGCCAACGTCAGTTGAGCGTGGACAAGTTCAAGTTCATTTATTAGGTACTAGCGGAAGTACCCGGCTTTGTCCGGGTGAAAAATATGTTTCTTAAAAATCTTACATATATATACACAGATACTAAGGTATTGTCAAAGCCCGGTGGGCTGTTTGTACATTTCTCCACCAACAAATATATAAGAGGCTTTCACAAGTCCAAAAAGTTGTAGAAAGTGTGGGGTAAATAGTTGATGTCAAAATGTTTCCGAAAATTGTGGTCTCCCCCCCCCCCCTCAAAAAATATCTTTACCCCTCGTAGGTATATATACTAACAACACCTTACATACAACAGAGGAAGTGGTATCTATTGACTCTGTAGTAGTATCTACTGACTGTACCGTAGTATCTACTGAGCCAGTAGTAGCTACTGACTGTGTAGTAGTATTTAGTGACTGTAATAACTACTGACCAAAATAGTATTTACTGGGCCTGCAGTAGTATCTACCGACTATATACTCGTAACGACTAACTGCATAGTATCTGCTGACTCTATAGTTGTATCCATTGACTATAGTAGTAACTACAAAATCTATAGCAGTATCTACTCACTCTATAATAGTATCTACTGACTCTAGTAGCTACTCACCGTAGCAGTATGTACTGACTGTATAGTAGTATATACTGACTGTAGCAGTATTGACTGACTGTAGTGGTATATACTGACTATTTTAGTATATACTATAGCGGTATCTACCAACTCGATAGCAGTATCTACTATCACTACAGCAGTGTATACCGACTGAGGTCGTACCTGCTATCACTACAGCAGTGCATACTGCTGTGTTGGTACCTGCTATGATTACAGCAGTGCATACTGCTGTGTTGGTACCTGCTATGATTACAGCAGTGCATACTGCTGTGGTGGTATCTGCTATGATGAGAGGAGTACATATTGTGGTGGTGGTACCTAGTATGATAACAGCAGTGCA